TTTAGTTATCCAACCAGAAAAACGAAATCCCCTGAGAGCTGAAACTACAAAGCTTCAGTTCTAAGAAAAGGCAGATTTAAAATAAATAAATATATGAATGAAGTCCGGCTAGAAATGTAACAAATTAAAAGTGTTTATAAAAATAGTAGAGCACTAAAGTGCTTTTTAATGTAAATTTTACGTGACTTGCTCAAAGTTGCTGTTGAAGATGATGATGAAGTTGTGGTTCAGACGTGAAGCAGGTGGTTTATTCTGTTGCTTTTCCTTCCTTGTGAGGGGCCCAGTCAGCTGGCTGTCATTAGCTGGTTAATGTTAGCTGGTTAGTGTGTTAGTTCTTCAGATTGGTGTCCTTCCATTAAAGATAAAAAGAGACATTTCAGAGTAAGTTTTCTGAATAAAACATTGCTTTGGTCACTCAGGAAATGCAGCGAAGCGCGAGCCTGTGTGGCTGTTACAGCCCCGCTCGTCCTGCGGTGGTGACAGTGACCCTGCGGGCTGCGGTGACCTCTGCGCCTTGGAACTCCGTCCCCGGGGGCTGCCCTCTCTCTGGTTTGCCTGAGCTTCCTGCTCGTTATGTTCTGAATTCATCCTTTTTACATCTCACGGTCCATTCTAAGTTGTGTGTGTAACCTTCAAGGAAGCCTTCTAAGACTGACTTTCACGTGAGAAGACCGGGGTGTGGTCATGGGCATGAAGAGCAGAGGAACTAACAGCCTCAAGTTCTGGACTCACTCATTCTTTTCTGGCTAAAATGTTGAGTGTGGTAAACTGCTGGTTTTGACAAAGTTTTTTCTCACGGATTTTTTTTTTAAGTGTGGTATAAAACGTGGAACACAAAATTTACCATCTTAACCATTTTTAGGTTCTCACAGATTTCTTTGTGTGCCCCCAGTGTGTGGGAGCCTATCGCAGTAGGCCTCTTTGAAACTCTGAGCAGCAGAGTTTAGTGAATGCGGCCTCACGTAAACTGGTGTTGGCGTGAGCGCGGGAAGCCCATTCCTCCCGTTGTCAGGGTGGCGCCGATACGCCCCGGCCTTGGGCAGAGAAGCCTGGGCGGGCAAGAGCCTGGGACGTGATGGCATTTGTTTGGGAGGTTGTTCTGGCGGCCTGCGGTCGCTTCTTTTTGTGACCACTGCCAGTAATAGAGCTGTACTCGCTAATGCCCTTGAGCCCAGTAATCAGTTTTTTCGTCTACTCTGTGTGAAACCTTCACAGAACCGCAAGACCCTTTTGTGAGGTTTCTGAATGACTGAACCAAGGCGGGCTGTAGGAGGTGACTGTTCACAGGCGTCGATACACTTTGTTCTCTAAGGGAAAATGGCTTTTATTAGACCACATTCCCCCTTTCCGTTTGAATTGCTCTCAGAAAATTGGCCAGATACCCACCTGCAACTGATCTTTACCACGTTAGACTTTGGTTCTGGAAGTAGAATCATTTGCGGCGAGGGCTGCATCATCCGCCAGGCCAGTCACAAAGAGCCCCCTCTTCCTCGGGCAGAGCTTGCCCCAGAACTCATCTTGGGGCTTGGGAATTCAAGCCAGGGCCTACTGTTGTGCACCATGAGCTCTGTGTGCTTGTCAGGTGGAGCTGCCTCGTTATGGGACAGCAGGGCAGGGGGTGAGAACGCCCCGTCCACGGGACTGTTTTAGTTGCCTCATTAAGTGGGTGGGGTCAGGCAAGGCAATGGCAGCACAGGGTTTCTTTGGAAAACATGAAAAGCAAAATCCCATTCTGTGTGGCGATTACTGAAGGGTTAAATGGTCACAACCAAAGATGAGTATTTCATTCTTTTGGGCGAAACACTGCAAGTTGTTTATTTTCAGTTATTCTGGAGAAAATTCAGGAAAGGAACCCGCATTTGATTTGGCTGATTTGTCCATGTGTCTGGGTCACTGGAGGTCCCCTCACAGCCCTCTGCAGAGGGCCAGGGTGTGGCCTTCGGAGGAGGTGTGTCTGTGGTGCCTCCGTGGCCTGCGGTCCAAATTATGGCCATTTTATTGTCATGCTTATTAGTCACCGAGTTAATTTTTTAAAGGTGAAAATCTATCTTCTGAAATCCATTTCACAAGATAGAAGTTGAGATTTTCATAAATTGCAGTCCTAAACTAAATGCATGTGGTAGGGAGCACATGATAATGTAGAAGTCTATAAAATATACAGAAGTGAAAAAAATACTGTGAAAACTTTCACAAAATATGGTTGGAACAGAAAAGTGAATTTTCATACTAGATAAATGAAATGGTAACTCTTTCGGCATAGTAATGGCATTGGGTCACTGGGGGTGGAAATGTCACTGGAAGCAAGACATCCACCATACTTGATGTATGATGTAGTATCTGAACTTTTCTAGTTAGGAGTTCAGTTCTTCTTAAAAGGCAGTAGTGATTTGCATTGCTCCCTCAAAATAGATATTACAGGTTCTTTATACATACACAAAAGTTTTTTTTAATTAGCAAGCCTGGTTTTAAAGAGACTTATTTGTAGCAAGAAGTTTAACATATTCAGATGTGAACATTGAGATAGAAATCCATGAGACAGGGTTTCTCTGGGCTAGAAAACAGTCATTCCCTTAGTGGTTTGGTTCCTGTCTGTTCTCATGGGCAAAGCCAGTAGATTGGGAGATCTGGAGGTTTTTTTTAAATGACAATTTTAACACTGTTTGAAATATTATTCTGGTACTAGATTTTCTTAACATGTTCTCAAAAGCCTTAAAAAAAGAATTTTAACTTTGTATATGAGTCTTTGGCAGAACAGGCTTGATTTTTATTTCTTATGCTCTGTCAAGTACACAGATGTTTCTAATAGTTTTTGATTACTCTATAAGGGGCTAAAGAAATCAGTGCCAGAAATAAAGTCCAGCTTACTTCTTCCTGGACAGCCCCTCTCTCCCCTTCCCACCCTTCCCCCACCTGCAGAACGCAGCTATGGCTTTGAGCAGTCTGGAAAACTAATAAGACTCTGCCGAGCAAGGCAGGCAGGGGTGCGGGGGAGAGAGTGTGCTTCCCAGGGTCTGGGACTGGGGGCTGCTGGAGGAGTGTCAGGGAGACCCAGGGGGTTCCTGGTGGGGGTTCTCAGGGAAGGAGCAGTCAGCTGGCACCTGGGAGAGCTCCAGCAGAGCGGCAGAGGACAGGCAGGGCAGGCCCTGCGGGGCTTGTAGACTGGTCCTGTCCTCCCTGGAGCAGGAATCTTCCTCTTCTTTGTTAGGGGGATTAACCACTTCCACGAACATCGTTTAGGGAGGAAAGCTCTTTTCCAGTTCAGGCCTCTACCTTCGACCTTTTAATGTTAGCATCTTTGATTGTTCACAGAGATATGTGTAAAACTTAGCATGGTTTTTCCGCCAAAAAGTCTGTAAAATTTAGGAGGGGATTAAACATTAATGAAAATTTTCTCTGTGGCCTGGCAAAGATGATTTGCCTTGTCTTTGAGTTTTGTTTTGTTTTGCTCTTTGTGTCTGTCTGGTGGACATGTGTTTCTTATTTTAAATATCTAACTTTCTCTTAAAAGATGGGCTCTTAGAACAGGAGTGTGGTTAACAGCACAGGGCGAGACAGAGGCACATCTGGCCATAAAGCTTGTGAGCCTGGGAAGGGGGTGGGGACCCGGTTGTGGGAACCCTGGGTCCTGGGCTAAGCAATTTGTGTGTGAGGCTTTTGAATAGGAGGATGACATGTTTGAATAGAAAGATCCATGGTCACTCGGCAGTGGGGGTGAGGTGGTTTGGAAGGAGAGCCCCACTGGAGTGATTGGTGTGGGGAGCAGAGGAAGGGAGGGATCAGCAAGCCACCCTAACAGCAGCTCGGGTGGCGACACCTCACGCAAAGGCAGCACTGGAAGAGGCACAGATGGGGCCGGGGGCACCATGAGTCAGTCATGCCCTCCCTCACTGCGTGGAGGGACAGGGAAATAGGCCCACCTGCCCAGCACGGGTCTGCCGGTGGGACACACTCCTGGCAGTCATCTGTATGAGAGTGTGGTCGAAGAGCCCATGTAGGGGACAGCAGAGAGACAGGGAGCTGGTCATGCGATACTTATGTAGGAAAGACGCGAATGAGCATGTGAGCCCTGTCCCGAGGAGCTCACAGGCTGAGGGAGGACCCTCAGGGCTCAGGCCGTGTGTACCAAACGGTTAACGAGAGGGCCGTGTGCCTGCCTTACAGGCAGAGATCGTGGAGTATGCGTCACGTGGAGTTCGTGGATGGGCTTCTAAGGGCCTCGGAATTAGTAGTTTCAATGGGCAGAAATGGGAGTGAGCATAGTGAGAGAAGAGAAGGGGAAGGGATTTCAGACTGAAGGAACAGCACACGCAAACATGGGAATCCAGAAGACACAGGCCACATGGGAAGTGAGCCTGTGTTCAGGCATGTTGAGCATGGAGTAGAGTCTGGGGGTGGGGGTGGTACACCAGGAGACTGCTGGAGCACCCAGGGGAGATGGGTGTGCGTGGCTCCATGTTTCAGGGTCACAAACCCTTTGCCTTTCCCTTCCCCACTCTTGTGGCTGCTGCTTTTCTGATCCAAGCGACACTTAAAGAGACCACATGCTGCAAAGCAGGGAACGCTCAAACACCAAGTCAGAACAGAAAGTCTGGAACAGAACTGTATCTCGTTTTATCACTGTATTTTACAGTAATTCCCCAAATACCCTTCAAGCAGAGTTTTTATTAGTTGGCTATAGGTTAAAAAATGAGTATATGGCACTTTGTGAAGAGGAAGATAGAATGTCTCAGGTACAAAAATTAGAAAAATCATATCCAATTCTGATGGTGAAACGCTTAGAAAATCATAATTGGATATTCAAGTATGAGAAAGTACACAGCTGTGTGATTCCAAAGGGAGGTGAAGCGTGCGCAGCCTCGGCGCTCTCACCCGGGTGGCAGGCGAGGCTTCCGACCCGCCTGGGATGGAAGGTGGCATTCCTGGCTGAGGTCACAGCTCCACCGTGAAGGCCCCGTGGCTCACCCTTGCTGACCGGTCCTCTCTCCCTGTGTCCCTCCCAGCTCTCCGGTGGCTGCGAGCTGACGGTGGTGATCCACGACTTCACGGCCTGCAACAGCAACGAGCTGACCATCCGCCGCGGCCAGACCGTGGAGGTGTTGGAGCGGCCGCACGACAAGCCTGACTGGTGTCTGGTGCGAACCACCGACCGCTCCCCCGCGGCGGAAGGCCTGGTCCCCTGCGGCTCTCTGTGCATCGCCCACTCCAGAAGCAGCATGGAAATGGAGGGCATCTTCAACCACAAAGGTAGGGGTCCACAGAGCACAGGTGACAAGTACCTGCTGGAGGTGGCACTGCAGCCTTTTGTCTCCACGGCTTTGCTGCCTTTTAACATGTGTGATCCTCCTTGTGAACCATACACGTTGTCACTGTCTCTCGGGACACTTCTGGTCCATCAGCAGCTGCAGTGGAAGCGAGGATGTCACCTGTTAGTCAGAAATAAATGATTTCCTCACTTCCCAGGGTGATGTAGTAAGGCATGACATCAGTTTAGAGAAGAGGAAGGGGCCAGTGTCATTCATAAATGGAGAAGAGAGAGCGGGTCCTGCTCTCCTCCAGGTGACGCTGGAAACAGGGAGGAGAGGTCAGACCGTATTCAGCATCTCCTCAGTCAGCTTTTCTCTTGTTCTGCCTTTCTTTTGTTAGTGGTAAATTCTAGAAAATCAAACATTCAGGTCCTGAGAGTCAAACCACCCTGTTTTTCTAGCTATGAAAGCAAAAGTGTCTAAGGACATCCCAAATTCCACAAGCTGCCAACACAGAGAGGGAATTGCCAAGAAAACATGGGGCTGAGTCAGGCAGGGCTCTGTGCTGGGGTTCTGCAACGGTGGCCTCTTGAAAGAATTGCTTTGAAATGGAAATAAAGGCAGGGCACTCAAACAGAACAGCATTCGGCCTTCTTAGGCCACTCCTTCAGCTAAGTCCTGGAGCGGGACTGCTCTGGTGCGTGTGGGTGGATGGATCAGTAACAGCTCCCGTGGAGAGATGAGTCTTTATCCTGAATGCCCACCTTGCAGCCGCTGCGTAGACATGGCTGCTGAGCCCTGGAAACATGGCTAGTCTGGGTTGAGATGTTCTCCAGGTGTAAAGTACACACTGTATTTTTAGTGTGGAAAAAAAAAATGTGTACTTATTTTACTGTCATTACCTATTGAAATAATATATTTCATAGAGTGGGTTAAGTAAATGTATTATTAAAATTAATTTACCTATTCTTTTTACTTTTTAAAGTCTGACTACAGCGCTGGTTTAGTCTTTCATCTTAGTGAAAAGCTAATTTGAGACTTTAGGTCCATTTAAGAAAGATGGGTCTATCTGTAGCTTCTAGAAAAGCACAGAATGAGTAGAGTTTATAGGCTTTGAACCACACTGTGTCACATTCTTCATTTTCTGCAATACTGGCAAATAGCCAATTCTTTCAGAGTATACAGTTTGTTTTTCCTTCTAGAGAGAACATCACTATACTCTGCTGTATTGTTTCTTTTAATTTTGGAACATGCCGGTTGCTTCTTTCCTTTATCACCTGCGCCCTCCTTACGTTGGTGACGCCTCCCGGAGGCCATACCCTGGCTGCTGAGGGTTAGTCATTCCGTTGAGCTAAATGAAGCTGCACAGGATACAGCTACTGATTAGCCCTTCTCGTTAATTACAGGCCCAACCGTGTTCCAGCTCCCTCAGGGCCTAGATGTGACGTTATTGTTACCTCAGTCAGAAACAGGAAGAATTAGGCTATTATTTCTCCAGAAATCCAAAGAGAGAGGCAGAGAATTTTCAGATTTTGGCCAGAAGCCGAGGTGTCCTCTTCCATTTCCGGCGAAGCTGCCCGTGTGTTCAGAGCAGCCGTGGGCTCCCCTGGTGTGGCACCGAGTTCAGATAGAGATCTGGGCTGTGCTGTCTTCTAGCCCATTGCCAGCGTGTTTCTAAAGTTGCATCATGTATTTTAGTCCTTGAATTTGAATTGAAAATAAAATGCAGCTTTTTTTCTTCAAGTTAATCTGTTCTCCAGAGGAGCCCTGGTGAGCTTAAGCATGCCACAAAATAACGGTTGTTCTGAAAGATTTCTTCATGGGTATGGCTGTCCCGTGGTGTGTTCCTTGCTTCCTGGCGTTCCCAATTGCAGTCTAGCCAAGGAAAGAACTAGGTATTCATCACACTTGACTTTATCCTGAAAACTTCTGGTGGAGGTTGGGCTTTTGCTTGGTGCTAAGTTGTAGTACTATTTCGTTTTTCTCTCAGACATATTCTAGCACCTGGAAAGTCTTTCCCTGCCCCTCACAAACCCACTCATGCCTGGCTTTACCAAAAAGATGTTGCTTCAGCGAGCAGACCTACTGTGAACTAACTGCAGCCAGCAGTTAGGAGTTCAAAATCAGAACCGTTTCTCCCTTTCTTCTCCTTTTTTGTCCCCCTGTAATGCAAAGAAACTCTTAAGATGGTCTGTTCCCTTACAGCGTCGGAACCAGTTCAGTGACAGATGTAGATCAGGGAAGGGGAAATCCACCTGTGGGCTTTTGACAGGCCTCTGACACAGAGTCCTGTCCAGGTCCAGGAAGTCAGGCATCTTGACCAGAGTGTCTGTCTAGGAAATCCAAGGCCTTCATCTACACATCGGGGTAACAAGGGAGGAGGATTTGGGAGTGGAGTCCAAAGAAAGACACTCAGACTCAAGGACCAGAGGAAGCAGGAGGCCTTGATTTGCTTCTGCTCAGCCCCACCTGCGCCCGGGCCTTCCTGCCCTGCGTGTGGAAGGGGCTTGCCTTTGTAGCCCTGATGGATGGGTGCGTGCTGGGCTGGCAGAGCCTGCTGTCCACGAGCATCGCATTTTGAGTCCCTTTTCATTGTAAGACTCCTTCTGGGCTTGAAGGACACGGGTTAAATGCGGCCTCTTCTCTCTCTGACTATGGCATGCATCATCCATCTGGCTGGGTCCCACCCTCTGGCAGTATCAGGGGAGCAAGTGGTCTGCCTCTCCCACGCTTCCAAGCCCAGGGACATTATGGAGCTGTCCTTACGTGTTTGTCTCTCCTCACTGGTTCATCTTAAATGTCTCTGGTTTATACTGCTCAGACCTTCCAGACAGAAGGAAGGAGCACACTCCCTAATCTCTAGTTCCAAATTTTTCTCAGCCTTAATACCTTACTAATTTTTCCATAATTCTCTGGTCCAACAACTTAGATTTCCATAACTTTCAAATATGAAAAACTCACCTATTGAGGTCAAGGTCTGTTTGCTTGTGGACAATAAGCTATTTTAATGATTGCAATGAGTATAAATACTTTGATCAGCCAAGAAGGGCCCGGTGCTCAGGTTGACTTGGTAGTTTCAAGGCTTGGCTAGACTTAGAAGGCTGAACAAAGAGAAAACTTAGAATTCATGGGGACCAGGTCTCTTTCATCTAGCTGTGTTTTTTTAAGGTGATTTGGAGAGAGGATAAAAACATAACTTATTTTAAATGAACACGAAGTTTAATTACACAGTTTGTTTTTCAAGGAAATAATTTTGTGTCTGAAACTAGACTTCCCTGTGAACATTATTCCATTGAAAAGTGCTTTCTGATTTGTGGGAAAAGCTTGTTTTTGAAGATTGCTGTTGACGCGTCTTTGCAGAGAGACAGCCTTGGTGTTTGATGGCTCTTTCTGGGCCGGCTCTAGGGGACGTTCTTCTTCACAGCACCGTAGTCACAAATTAGACACTAGGTGTGTAAGATAGGATAAGGACTCAGCAAGTCCTGGTGCTCTGCCAGCCTTACTTGTGTTTGCTTGGTGCCGTCCACCATTACCCCAGAATTGCTGGGGTTGGGGCCCAGGTGTGGAGACTGCATCTGTGCCCAACAAGTCCCAGCTACAGGGCCATGCCGAGGACCGCACGGGTCTCCCTCATGTTCCCGGGGGCATAGGAGGCATTGATTTACTGTTGAAGCAGGTGTTACCTCATCACTTTGGTCTCTCAGTAAATCCAAGTGATTTTTTTCCTCCCAGTGCCTCAACTGGTAAAACTTGTCACTTTTATCTATTTATTGACTTAGTCTTGGTCACAGAAAGGAAACAAATATTGGAAATGTTTATATTTCCAATGAGGCCAATTCCACCGCCCTCGTTAAGTTCATCCCTTTCTTCCCAACCAAGAGCTGCCCTACTGGATGGAACCTAGGGTTTTGCTCCAGCAAAGCATGCCAGGGAAGACACAAGAGGCACTTGAGGGGTGCAGCAGCCAGAGTTGGTAGTGATCAAAATGGAAAAGAGAAAAAAATAAAACCATCTGTGTCACTAATCTAGGCAAATAAGCATCCCTTACCTTCTACCTACCGGGTACATCTCTAGAGTACAGAAGGTGAACCCTTCGACTGTTAGCTTCTTTGAGGGTGAGCCTGGAGTCGCCCTGTGTCCAGCGAGGGCCTTACATCACGCTCACTGCTCATGGTGTCTGGAAAACCCCCGCAGGGCTGTGTCCCACACTGCTGCCACCACAGGGAGCGGTGTGTTTGAATGAGTTGAATCTGGAAGGTCCCTCTCAGCCCACATGGAATTGTTTTTTGCTAAAATAGGGCTTTAAGAGAAGACCCTTTCATAGTGAGGGTGGTGTTCGCGGTGAATGCTTTTGGAAGGGGCCAGCATTGAGCTTGCAGAGTGTGTTCTTCCTGTCATGAGGCCCGAGTTGGGGTGGGTGTGGATGGTCTTGAGTCCTTGCCAGCTCTGAAATTCTAAGTTCCTATTTCTTAGAAGGCCTCTCTGAATAAAAGCCAATTCAGAACCTCTGCCTTTTACCTATGCCGACCCATAATGTGATGACAGGTGGTCTTTTCATGGGAGCTTTGATATATCTAGAAGAAAATACCCTCTTAAAACAATTAACCTTTACCACTCTAAAAGTTGTTCATAATTATAAACTTTTTTCTTCTTTGGATTATGTATAGTTAAATACCTGCGTTTTATTTCCAAGGAGTTAAAAGCAAGAGCTATTTGTAGTAAATGAGAAAATCAAGGGGAAACAAAACACAAGAAGTAAAACCTCTTGCTTGCTGGTGACTTGAGCCTGTAAACAGGGGCATGCGGCATTTTTCTGCGGTACGATGTATACCAGAAACAAGTGCCAGGGTTTTCAGTTTTCCACGATGCCTACAGAAAAGTATACACGGTCAAAGTCAGTTCTCGGAGCTGACCAGACTGGCCGCGGTTGTCACAGAGAAGGCACAGGGGATTGTCTTTCATAAATGTAATGAGACATGATCGTTGTTAATAAAACAGGGC